TTGGCCAGAGGTGCTCTCAGTCAGGCTTTGGAACTCGGCGCATACATAACACGCACCGCATTATAAGGCGTCCTGTCCATTTTGGAGAAAATTTAAGACTTTTAATGGCGCCTTATAGTCGCGAAAATACGGTAATTCGTATTCGAGCTTGTTTTTCTCCATTGCCTTAGTGCGAGCGTTTTTTGTTACTGGGTTTTTGCATGTTTTCCTGGTACTCGTTTTGACCAGCGTTTTCTGTTGTCTCTTTTCGGCGGTGCGGTTTTTGTTAATAAATATTATTTTCGTACGGAGTTCTTGTTGGTGTCTGCTGTTTCGGGAATCCTATATTTCAATTTTGTTGCGAATGAAGCGTGTTCCTTTCCGCTTCGCTCGCAACGTGACAGTGAGAAAGTCAAAGTGCTCCAATCAAAAGCAAGGTTAAAGAGCATTTTTTTCAAAATTCTCATTATTTCCTGGAATATCTTATTTTGCATTTTTAACATTAGCAATGCCATTTTTAATAAATAATGCCTTCTTTTACAGGTGGGAATAAGAGACGCAAGTGGACAGGTGATGAAGTGAAGGCTGTTGAGCGACATATGTTTGATTTCATAACAAGCCATAACGTTCCAGGTAAAACGAGCTGTGACTACTGTCTCCACGCAGAGCCAGTAGCTCTGAAAGACAGAGACTGGGTGTCCATCAAAAACTACATCCACAACAGGATAACTGCATTAAAAAGGAAAATGAATAGATAGTACATTGAAATGCGAGCACGCCTGGGTACATTTCAGTTCAAGTTAACTAAAGCAATAGCAATGGTGCATAAAGGGTGGGATGGTCAATTACGGTTTTCATATTTGTTGTTGAATACGGTGTTTCACGTTTGTTGTTTCACGTTTGTTGTTTCACGTTTGTTGTTTCATGATCTTCAAGAGCAATTTGGAAAATCCTTGGAGATGTTTGGAGATGTAAGGTATACTGTATATCAGGCATGTCCCGATCTGGGCCTGGAGGGCCACTGTCGTGCCTGTTTTCCAGCTCTCCCGGCTGCAACACACCTGATTCAGATGATCAGTTCATCAGCCAGCTCTGATGCAGCATTAGAACATCCTGGGAGAGCTGGAAAACAAGAACACAGTGGCCCTTGAGGACCGACTTTGGACACCCCTGCAGTATGTAAACGTACGTACAGTATACGAACTTCTCACAAATGATAGGCTTACTAGGTTTGAGGTGAAATTTCAGAAAAACCCTAAAACATTTGAATTCATCCTATTTCATAAATTTCAATACTTTTTGAAAAGTTGCTTTTGTCTAACAGGTAGCTAAAGAAGAAGTTGCTACATACATGGCACAATATATGCTCAGATTCATTAAAAATTCTTCATCACCGTGTTCACATTTTGACATAATCTTCTTCAGTTCAAACAACCCTCATCTATTGCACTGCCTTGTGTCATGGAGAGGAGGTGGCATGTTTTCTGTGTTCATAAGTTCATATTTGCCAACAATTAAAAAATAAAAAAGTGGACTGAACACATATTTAACTGTCTCTTTTTCTTCACAGCTTAGTTTTACTGTCTTGTATTATTTACGTGAATATCTCAGGGATGACGGGTGTAACGACTGTTTGGCACATTCGCCTCACAGTTCAGCAATTGGTGGTTCGAATCTGGGCTTCCTTCCTTTGTAGAGTTCTCCCCGTGCCCGAGCATGACAATTGGACGCATGTGCCTAACATATACTGTTGGTATGTTACAGGAGTCAATCTAAAAAGACACACTTTATTCTTAGCTGGTCTAAGTCATATATACTTGAAAATGATGTGTCTCTAGGGGGCTCAAAATTCACAAAAACATGAAATGGCAGTGTGTTTGAGGTGACTGTCTCCATAATACACAAAAACCTGTCAACGTCCTCATATGTAGTAGTTTTGTCATAAATCAAAAAAAAAAATTACGTCTTAGCCAAAATCTGAATAGAATGGGTGTCTTCCTGATTTTTTTTTCATGGTTACCATATTTTTTTGGAGCCGGTAGGACCACGGGAAAGGCAGGTACCCATATGTCGGATGAACAAACGGACGTCCTGTAAATGCACCAAAACAAGTGTGTGTGTGTGTGTGTGTGTGTGTGTGTGTGTGTGTGTGTGTTTACATCTAAGATCAAATTTGCTGCAGTGAAAAACCCCCTGTTGTGAAAAATTTCTTGCTGCAAACATGATTTTGTTGTAGAGGAGTTCACTGTAGTTGATCTTGAATTCTCTCATGGCTGCTCGATTCCCATGGTCCTTCGCGTAACTGATAGCCCGCAGTTTAAACTGTGCTTCATAAGTGTGTATCTTCATCTGTGCCATTTTCAGGATGTTGTTTTGCACAACGCACATAACGCCACCTAATAGGGGTGTGCCTTTAGCATCCACTTTCAAACCCACCCTACCCACTTTAATGTCCGCATGCTGTCCTCAGTTACGTCCGCCTTTCCTGTATATACGCAACGTATCGGCACAACATCAGTCAGGCAAGCGGATTCGTCATCAAAGTCACACAACAGCATTCACGAATTTTGGAACTTGGTTCATACACAAGGCGACCCACATTAGGCATCCCATCCATTTTGGAGAAAATTTAAGATTTTTCACTGCACCTTTTGGTCATGAAAATATACGGTAATTGACCATATTTGGACAAAGGAGGTTTGTGCCCAACAGCGCCAAGGCGTGACTTACTCCCACTCCCAGTTTTGACGACTGGCTTCTAGACTGCTTCCTGTTGGGGCTTTTCACCAAAACATAATTACCAGAGCAAATTGTGGACAACTCATGTAAGACGCTTCCCTGTGCATTCTTTTATGAAGTCAGCGATTACGAGGAGTGTGCATTACACGCATACATTTCGCCCCAGGATATTTAACTTGGTTTTCATGGAAGACAACCCTCCAATATGATTGACTTGGCATGAAAAACCAGCCCGCAATACTTTTACTATTGGCTATTAACTCCTGATTTCAACACTGTAAGGTAGTGATTCCCAACCACTTAAAGACAGCAATGCATTATTGTTATAATTTGATTTATGCCTTACTGACTTAAATGTATGCCACGTTTGGTAGAACTTTGTAAGGTTATTGCATTGGACGGTTATCAGACAGCAGGACAAAGTGTTTCCTAAATTAATGACTCGAATTCAGTGTTTCGAAACCTTCATTGAGCCAAGGTATATGTTTCACACCGAAAAAAAGTTTCACGGCATACCCCTTGTGTACCTTCAGTCATTTGGTGCAAGAGCATTTCATTGTTTTGCCTATACATGGTTGCATATACTGTATGTGTATATATACTGTGTATATATATATATATATATATATATATATATATATATATATATATATATATATATATGTATGCAACACATGCAGTATATATAAATACTCCTCCTTTTGTCAAAATAAGTGACATTGGAAATTTTTCCATAGCATACCTGATGATCTCTCCGGCACACTAATTGTGCCATGACATAACATATTTGATGGCTCATTTGCTTTCATTTTAGTTTAAACCTAACCTATGAAATCAAAACATTTACATTTCAGTAAATCTGAGAATGTTTATTGTAACACAGATTCATTGATTGCTTGTCTTTGTCCAAAAATACATGAGCTGATCATTAAATCGCAATTGCCATGTTAAGGAATGAAAAAAAAAAAGAGAGAAGCACGATTTGATTATTTTTTTCCAAGTGTTCAGTCCTACAAGAAAACGCTGGTTTTCATTTGTGATGGCAACCGACTCTGAATAGTCACATGAGTTTCTCCCTTGCCTTAAGGTGGGAAACACCATTGATTAAGGGGCGGGATGCAAAGCTGCATAGCGGCAATCACAGACAAGTGCTTTGAATGCAAAGGAGGCAGTCAAAGCGCCACTTAAGCTAATATCGGAGTATTTACCAAGCTGCCTGCTAATTACACGGGGGCGCAATTGGAGCGTGATTGCAATTAGCCAACGTCCACACCGCCTAGGAGGAGAAAAATATTGGCAGATGTTCAGGCTGCTCAGAATGAATGCGCACCTTGTGGAGCGCTCGTTTTCAACTCCCGGCAGCATGCGGTCGATGCGATGTCGAATGGAGGCCATGTGCTCGACATCAACAAAATGAACAGCAAGGGAAAAAGTCCATTTGAGCCAGGAGATAGACAAGCTTGCCACGAACCTGATTTCAATTTAAACTAGTTCGTAATCAAACAGTTGGCACCAGCGCAAACAACCCAAACACGGCCAAGTTTGCTTTAAAAGCAGCGGTTCACAAACCGGGGTCCACGAGCCTGAGTTTGGGGTCGGCAAAAATAATTAGCAGTAAATTATTACAGTGCTCTACTGACTTACAAAGGTGAGTTTTTCAGAGGACACAAGATGTCAATTGTGCCGAGCATGAAACAAGTTTGATTTAAATACAACTGAACGGCAGTGACTTTCCAAATACAGGTAAATAGTTTCTTTTCCAGAAAAAAACTGCAATGTTTTCAGAATAAAGTCGTAATACGTGAACATCAAAGATGGAGTTTGTATGACTAAACAGTTAATCTAGTCGTATTTTTCTGAATGCAGCTCACGTTAGAACATGACTTTCTTCCCTTGTTAATCTTTGACTTTAACATTATAATGTACTGATTTCATCTGGGGGGATGACTGTTCAAGTAAGACTGCAAGAAATAAACTTTTTCATGACTATGGCATTGAGGGGTACACACAATCAGATGATGAGAGGGTCCAAGGAAAAAATTTCTCCCCTGCAGCCAAATGGTTTGAGAAGCATACTCGCTGACAGATTTGACATGACTTGCACCGTATGTAATTTGCAAGCCAGGTTTGGCGCCCTCTCCTGTAGGGAAATAACACTGCATAGCAATGGCTCTGCTTTTTAAGGTGAGAGGAGAATGTGTATTTTTGCAAGTTTCGTATTTCTAAATGTCTTACAATGATCTTGTAACTCAGGAGTAAACAAAAAGAAGTGAGTGACAGCAGTTTTCAACATGAAGTATGGCTCACTAGCTGGGGAAACTACAAACACACTGCATTTCTTCTACCACCACATCGTTCCAGACTCCATATAGGCTCAAGATTGGACTTTGCTCATGCGTAGCAAATTCAAACCCAAACGTGAACTCCCAAAACAGGCTTGAGACCCTAGTTTGAAAGATAACCCTTCTTTGAAATCCTAACCTGGGTTTAAAATGCTAAAAAACACCCAATATTGGTAGCTTATCTTATTTTAAAACCCTAACCCAGACTTGAACCCAAAATTTGAAAACCTAACCCTGGCTTCAGACCCTCACCTGTCTTGAAATAATCCCAACCCGATATCGAAGGCCTATTTTACAACCCTGAGAATGGTTTGAAATGCTAACGCTGAATGTAATCCTAACCTTGTTTGAAAACCCTATTCTGAAAGAATACCCTGGTTTGAAACCCTTACGCACATTTGAAACCATAATTAGAAAATGTAACCCTGGCTTCAAACCCTAACACGAAGCCTGAACCCATTCTTTAAACTATGATTTGAGTCCCTAGCCACGTCCTTAAAACCTACCAACCCATTGTATAATCCGAACCTTGTTTTGAAAACCTAATCTGAAATCCTAATACAATCCTGCAAGACTCATTTGAAACCCTAACTCTATTCTGAAACCCTAAGTCAGGGGTGTCCAAAGTCCATCCTCAAGGGCCGCTGTGCTGCCTATTTTTCCAGCTCTTCCTGTTGCAACACACCTGATTCAAATAATCAGGATCGGTCTAATGCTGCTTCACAGATGGCTGATGATCTGATCATCTGAATCAGGTGTGTTGCAGCCGGGAGAGCTGGAAAACAGGCAGGACAGCGGCCCTCTAGGCCCGGAGCCGGACATGCCTGCCCTAAGTCTAGTTTGAAATCTAATACATGCTTGAAACAGTTTTGCCATTCATCTAATGACTTGAAGGAACAGAACTTGACTAAGAGATTACGATTAGAAGTAAGGTTAGCGGACTGTATCCTGGCATTCCAGCAA